TTTCCGGGTAGTTCGAACACCCGCGCCCCGCGGAGTGAGTGCTATCACTATACGCTATCACCATGCTATCACCACACCATGTCCAGCACGCTGTCCTGGGCAGGATGAGCAGGGGCTTGTTATGCAGCAGGGGGACCCGACCACGGCTTTTACTGGCTGCTGACGAGAGGCGTTCCGGCCGGCACAAGGCGGTGTGATTGCGTGTGGCGGGGCGGGGCGGGGCAGGGCGCGCCCTATCAACGGGGCTGAGGCTGAGAGCACTTGATGAGGAGATGAGATAGCTACGGACACGGGGACTGCGGCCGGCAGAAGTGACCCGTAGTGGGTACTACTACATCACCCGCGGATATGAGGTAATGCTTCGGGTAATGCCAATGAATTGAGTAGAGTACCTCGTTCCGGCCACGTCGTACCTTTTGCTCGCTGCGAGAACCGGACGCCCTGAAGGCGCCGCCGCCAGGGCGATGACGGCGACAGTGTCGACGTAGAGAACGATGGGGGGAGGGGGAGGGGGGGGGCAAGTGGCAGGTGTGATACTGTTGCAATGCACGGCCCATCCGCGGCTACACTGCTGACTGCACACGACCACAAATAGGTGGGTCGCCGCCGCCTCGCCGCGGGGGGCGGAGGGTAAGGACCGCCCCGTATCACAGCGAGGAGACGCCCCCACTTAGCGGGCAGGCGACAGTCGGGGCGTAGTGAGTGGTGTGGAAGGTTACGGCATTAACCCCCCCCTCCCCTCGGCCAACAAGGGCGTGGGCTATCACAGAACTTTGCCATAATCAATGCCACCAGAAGTATATTATTTGATTCCGCACTCGTTGCCACCCACCCACGCCCTTTGCTCGGCGGAAAATGAAGCTCTCATCAGGGACACAAAGGTTGAGCTGATCGGATGTGGCCGACCTAGGCAGGCGCGGCGGGGCAGTGGCCTGGCGCCAACAGATCGTTGTTGCTGCTCAGGTCCGCCGCGGTCAACCTCCTCCTCCTCCTCACCTCCTCAGCGTCATCTGTGGACCCTGAGACCGGGATTGAAATTGGTCATGCAGGACATGTAAGGAAGTTGAGACCAGGGAGGGAAATAGGTTCGTGAATTTTTCAGGGCATTTCGTTTTCCGAAATATGGTAGGAAACTAGAGAAGGTGGGGTAATCAAAATGCCACGTCGTTTGTCGCTGCTGCTTTGTTGTCTGATGTTTTGTTCTTCTTCTTTACATCACCGCTCTTTGTGTTTTCGGTCCCAGGGAGGATTTAGCGAAAATACCGTGTTGCACTGGGCGATCGCAATCCTTTGCTTTTCGTCCTCTTCACCGTTTGTCGAACGTGCCGCTCACGAAAATTCCCCATCCCAGTGTGATAGTCGACTTCAAAAACAGTCCAGGCTGTGTACCGGGTGCATCAGCTCGGACGTCGGACGTCGCAGTGTTGCGGGCTTGCCTACTCCCCCCTCCCGTCGGGCGCCATGGCCCCTGCTGTCCGAGAGGTTAGGCACCCCCGCTACACACTGTTGCCTTTTCGGCGTCGGCTCTGGACTGGATAAGACACGGCAGTGTCCGTGATTCGTGTTGCACCTGCAGCAGCGACCTGCAGGCCTGGACCGGGGTGCTCGCCACCCCCTTACGGCCCCCTGCGGCCCCCTGCGCCCCCTGAGCACGCCGTGCTCTGGCCGCCGTGCCCTCCGGCGGCGGCTGTGCGGCGGTGCGGCGGCGGCCGTGCCCTGCTGAGCTGAGCTGAGTCGAGTGAGTCGAGTCGAGTCGTGGAGTGGAGCCGAGGCGAGCAGCGCGGTGCGGTGCGGCGGGGCAGCAGACTCGGTTACTCGGTTCAGTCTCGATGCCGGATCTCCGCCGCAGACACGGACGGCCGTGCTCGTCCCGTCCCGTCTCGTCCCGTTCAGCCCCGTTCGTCTCTCCACGCGTGCGTGTGTGTGTGCGTGTGTCTGATTGATCTGTGATGAGTGCGGGCAGGAGCCAGGGGGGCGGCGGCGACCGCCGCTCCTCCTCGACCTCCTCCTCCACCTCGTCCAGCAACAGGGGGTTGTTCGGCGCGACCGGCAGCAGCAGCAGCATCAGCGGCGGCGCCCCCAAGAGCGGCGGCGGCGGCAGCTCGCGCCCGGGCAAGACTAAGAAGCTGTCGCTGCTCGGCTTCACTCGCGGGGTAAGTGCAGTGTGACTGCAGCGTCAGCGCAGTGGGACTGAAGTGCACCGCCCGGAGAGTTGGAACTTCTGTTTCTCTCTCTGCCGGGAGCTCTCCCGTTCGAGAACTATGTTCCCGGCCGGGCTGCGTGTACACTGCACTGCACTCAGCTGCACCTTACTCTCTGTGCGGGGCGGATAAGTGCAGTTTTCGGAGCGCAACTCGCGCACTCAACAGTCATCACTCTCATGATTCACTGCAGCTGCAGGCAGCCGCGGAGCACCCGCGTGGAGCTATACCTCGAGTAATGCACTTCTCAGAAGCGATTCCCCTCGCATTGGGGAGAGGGGAAGGGTTTGGGTCCGCTTGTTATTGCCTGCCCTGGATCGGCGTATGTATTTACAAAGCCCTGGCCCTCACGCCGTGACTCGCACGGGCTGTGCAAACAGTTCTAGAGCGGGGGGAGGGGGGGGGGATCGCCCGCATTCGGATGGACTTCCCTATTTCCCGGCGCGCCGTCGCGCCACCGCATGGGTACCACACACACACACACCACTGAATGACGCGCGCAACATGCTCGGGAATGGATGATGAGGTTTTATTCCTGACAGAGTCCTACTGGAATGCACTCCGAAAAAAAGAAAAATGAGCTCTGTACTCTTCTTTCCCGTGCGTCCTTTCGGGTCGCCGCGCGGGGGCTCAGGTCGCTGCGGCGATGACGCACACTTCCCCAGCCAGGGCGCCACGTCGTCGTCCCGCCACTTCTTTGTGGTGGTAGCTCTGGTTCCGGTTTCCGGTGCGCGCGGACCAATACCGGGGCGCGCGCGCGCGAGGTTCCGCCGACTTAATCAGCGAATTGTGTCGCTGAAAGGGCGCGCGCGGTTTTCCTTTTTTTTTGCGGTCTTCGACGGAAAGATAATTAAACTAGAGGAAACGTCCTGGCGACCTCGTTAATAACCATCGAGACCGTCCATAGCAGTCCCCGCCGCGGTCACCACGGCTGGGCCCGGGGAGCGAGGGGGACGAAAAGCAATTATACTTCCCGTCTCTCTCTC